GGAGTAAACCTGGCTACCCATGAAGGTCCAACACCACAGTCTTGCAGCTCCAGACTTGTGTGCCAGGCACCACGTACTCCTGTCGTTTCCAGACACGCCTCGAGGTGATTCAATAAATACCTGCTCATGAGTCTAATGCTTGTCCTTGTCCTTCCTCCCGTTGAAGCTCCCTATTGAGGATCTGCAGCTGAAACCTCCAAAATGAGGAAAAAATACTGTTTTTTACTGACACCGACGGTTCCGGATGAGCAGTCATGTTTGCAGACAGCAGGGATCAAAGTGGGTAGAAATCCCTTCTTCGTTACTTCCCCTCTGTCTGTCACCTGGTCCCAAGTAGGGAGTAGGGAGAGAAGGGGAAGTAGTCAGAGAAATGCTTCCTTTTCAGTCCTTCTAATCATGAAACTTCTTAGGTGGAAACCCAGAGTGAAATGCCGGGAGAACGCCTGGATTAGAGGATTAGAGCTATGCACCTGTAAGCCAAACAGCACTAAAGATTGCCAGAAAAAAAACCCAGAAACTGGGGCCAGGCAAAAGACTCCTCTGGGAGTGTCCATGGAGCACATCCCTGCCTTCAAATATCAACAATTTTTAAATACCCACTTTGTGGTACAGAGGCCGGGTGGATACATGGTCTGTGATCTCAGGAAATGAACCTTTAAAGCCCAGAGTACAGTCTCTACACTAAGGAAAGACTGTGGGGGGGAGGGGACATGAGCTCCGACAGGACACAGGCACATGACCCTAGCATCTTCCTCTAGAGCAGGAGCTCTCAACTTTCCTAATGCCACCACCCTTTAAGACAGCTCCTCATGGGTGGTGGCCGCCAACCATAGAATTATTTTGTTGCTACTTCATAACTTGAATTTTGCCACTGTTATAGATCAGGATGTGATTTCCCATGGTCTTAGGAGATCGCCCCCCCCCCAAAGGGTCAGGCGACCCACAGGTTGAGAAGCACTGCTTTAATTGTTCTGAGAACACAGCTATGGGGACTGAAAAGAAAGTCTTTTGTGGAAGCTAAAGAATCCTAGGTAAGTATGCTAGCTGCCAGGCCTGACAACCTGAATCTGATTCTCAGTACCCATACGGTATGAGAGGACCCCAGAGGCACCATGGCCTGTGTTTACCAACCCACAAACATATAGACACACACAAATGCACAGACACACACACACACATAGACACACACAGACATACACACAGACACTCACATACACACACGTACACATACACATAAATAAATAAGTAGATATAAAATTTTTAAAGTTAAAAAAAAACACAGTTACATGAGGAAGCAATGATCACTGTATGTCCACATGAGGTCACCAAGGGCAGGACCTGTCATGGCCAGGTCATCTTTGATAGGAAAGCCAGAGGACAAAAGGAAGCTGACACCGCACAGCAAGAGTACGTTGTTAGGAAATGGGAGTTTTCAGACTTCCTATGAACAGTCTCTATTAGTCAACATACCCATCTACAGATGGGTGACTGATTGGGACACTTTGCAGTGTCAGTTCCTGCCGGATGACACAGCTTTTACTTAAGTTCTTCCTCATCCCTTGATTCCTCAGTGGCCTAGAAAAGACAAACAGCCCCAAGTTTATGCTTGATGGATTAGATGGCTCAGTCTACCTCTGGCCCTGTGTGCTGACTTCTGGGTGTTCTGCTTAGGGAGAATGCAGGGAGGCAGGAGATGCTTTGAGAGGAGCCATCACGATGGGAGGTCATGTTATACATGGAACTGCCCGTGTCGTGGAGAATCCCTAAACGGTAAAGACCCAAGAAAAACAGAGTAGCAACGAAGTCACGAGTTTAACTGAGTCAGAGAATTTTGATTGATGAATCGGACAGTGAAAGAGCACCCCAATTTGCCTGAGGGAAGACTTCCAGGGAACGGTCCTGGTGAGGAAGATTGACAGCAAATCCCTATGAACTAATGTGTAAAGTTAGTGAACACTGTAGCACGCTTTCCAAAGCATACTCACCAACTCACCCTACGTATATATAAAAAAAACAGATATAAATAGATATAAGATCAACCAATTTTGAACAAGACTATAAGATCCACCATGAAGCCATCCTGACAGGTATGGATGGATAGAGCCACCGATGAGAAATCCAGAAGCACCGAGGAAACTTGATAGAGCAGCGTGTTGTCTGTTACAGGGAACTTGGCATAGGACGGAGCTAGCTCAGTGGTGGTACGAGGAGGCAGTCCATTGGGGGCTGTTGAGGAAACTGGCAGAGATATAGGGGAGATGGGGGATTTAAACAATATAGAAAAAAATGGAGGTGGTTAAAAACAGCAGTCAGTGCGAGCAATGAATTCTTTGTGCTTCTGAGACTTGAGCCCAGCATCTTTCAGGTAGGCAAACATGCTATCCCTGAACAGTGGTTTTTCTCCTTTTCTTTTAAGCTTTGGGGTGGTTCTTTTTTTTAAGTTAAATATTTTATTAGTATTAATACACACATATAATGTGTTAGAATCCAATCCACCCCATCACCACTCCTCCAATTCTTTCCTTATTCTTCCCTCACATTTTCTTTCCAACTTCACATGCTTTCTCTATTTTCTTTTTTTTTTTTACTTTCTTGATTATTATTTATTTCTATATTATTCTTTTTTATTAATTACACTTTATTCACTTTGTATCCCCCATAAGCCCCTCTCTCCTCCCCTCCCGGTCCCACCCTCCCTTCCCCTTCTTCATGCATGCCCCTCCCCAAGTCCACTGATAGGTGAGGTCCTCCTCTCCTTCCTTCTGATCTTAGTCTATCAAATCTCATCAGGAGTGGCTGCATTGTCATCTTCTGTGGCCTGGTAAAGCTGCTCCCCCCTCAGGGGGCGGGTGATCAAAGAGCAGGCCAATCAGATTATGTCAGAGGCAGTCCCTCTTCCCATTACTATGTCTTTGGGGTGGTTCTAAATTGGCCAATCTGGCTTGAACTAGTTCTATAGTCCAGACAGGCACTGAACCTGTGATCCCCCTGCCTCATGCTTCCAAAGAGCTGGAATTACAGGCCAACACCAGGTGACCCAGAGAAAGATAAAATTTAAATCAAATAGGAAATGCAGAGGTGTTGGCCAGGTGGTGGTGGTGCATGCCTTTAATCCCAGCACTTGAGGAGGCAGAGGTGGACCTATCTACGTGAGCTTCAGGCTAGCCTGATTTACAGAGCTAGTTCTACAATAGCCAAAGCCACACAGAAAAACCATGTCTCAAAAAACCCAAACACAAAAACAAACAAACAAACAAACAAAAAACTGTAGACATACACACTTGTGATGTGAGGAGCAGATAAAACCTGGACTCTCATAGCTTATGGTGAGAACTGCTCGGCTGCCCACATGAAAATTGATGACCGTGGATGGTAGCATACACAAAGCTACCCAGTTCTTGACAGATTAAGAAAAGTGCTCTACAAGGTCGGCATCGTTAGAGGTTAATCCTTAGGCTATATAAAGAACATCACTTTCAGGTGGGGTGCTAATGCCAGGATTCGGGAGGATGAGGCAGGAGGACCAAGAGTTCAAGACTAGCTTGAAGTGTATAGGGAGATTCTGTCACAAAGAAATCAATTTAAAAAAAAAAACAAACACCCGTGCCTATGTATTTAGATTATGTCAACAAAACGTAGTCAATATAAAAAATATATTTGGAAAGGAGGCATCAAAATGGTCCCTAGAGGCTTTGGCTTTTTCATTCAATAAATATAATATTTTTATTCAATCAATAAAGTTTATTTCATATTGGATTATTCTAAGTATTAAAGATACAGGAGAGAGAATCTCTTCCTTGAAGTATTAAAATTATCCTGGAGGTTTTTTTGTCCTCAGAACAATAAAGAAATTTACTTCTAATATGTGGGATTTAAATATATATATATATATATATATATATATATATATATATATATATATAATTTTACAGCTGGGAGAATACTTGGGTGCATTCCTTCTAGATTACTACTTTTTAAAATATTTCCTTTGTGTTGCGGGTGGCTTATGCATGTACCGCATCTCCGGTCTGGAGGTCAGAGGTCAGCTTGCAGGAGTTGACTCTCTCCTCCCACCATATGGGTTCTGGGGGTCAGACTCGGGTCACCAGGCTTGGTGTTAGTGCTTTGACCTCGGGGTATCTCATCCAGAGCCCTACTGTTGCAGGTTGACAAACAACATCTCAGGCAGCCTGTTGACACCCTGCTGGTGTGTAGATTAGAAGCCCAGCGGGTGGGTGGGTCTGGAATGCCAGGCCCTGGGTCTCTAATCTTCTTCTGCAACCTACAGGTGACTGGCACCTCACCAAACTGCAGTTCCTCCCTCAGCAGAGCACTTACTTAGCCTAACCTTGGTTTGAAGAGCTAGCGGTGTACTGTTAAGTCGAACAGCCTTTGGCATGTGATGAGAGCTCAAGTTAGTTGTTTCGCTTTCTCTATCTTGGTTATATATCATGATTCCAAAAACGATATTTTCCTGGACACTGTATTTCAGAAGTGGGATTGCCTTGGGTTATCGGGGAAATAACAACAACAATAACAGACAGTGTCACCGGGGGACACAGGTGTCTCACAGATCTGCTGCTCTTCCCAGCACCTGAAGCCTTGATGCTCAGCGGAAGGGAAGGGACCGACCCCGCTGCTATTCTAGCCTCACTCTGCGGTTTCTCAGCGGACTTATATCCTGACAAAGGTGGGTGCCCTGCCCCGAGGTTGAACAGGCTGGGAGGCTAGTCCTTCACAGGCGGTTATGAAACCACACATAATTGTCAATTGTCTGAGGAAAGATTAATGTCGTCCAGCTGGCTTTTTCAAAAGGGTGTGAACTGGAAGGATGAATAATGCTCACTTAAGTAGGGAGATGAGAGGCTCGCGGGAGCGAGCGGGGCGATTCCACCGATGGTGCGAGTTTCTGTTGGCTCTGCCGTTCTTCCACTCGGTAGGTGGAGCCAGCCGTTGGATAAACAGCTCCAACCCATTTAAAAGGGGGAAAGAAAGATGTGCCCTCTGTCTTTGAGGGCGACTGCTGGTGGTGAGCAGCTGGACAGCACCAAAGCAGCAGAGGGAAGCCTGTGACAGGATGAGCTCCAAGCCGAAGGCCATAGAGATCATTGGAGCGCCGTTCTCAAAGGGACAGGTGAGCCCGGCTTTGGATGGCTGGAACTTTCCGGGAGATGTTGCGTTTTAACCCTTGCCAGCCAAGGCTTGCCCTGCGGCTGTAAGTCTCCCAGCACCGCCTGGTGTCCCGAGTCTTCTCACCACTCACGGTAGCTTCTTCACCAGCCACTCCGGTTCTTGATTTTGTTTTGTTTTGTTTAATGTTTTCTGAGTGTGGAGTGAGAGACTGTAAGAAAACGCATTGGTCTGGTTACATAATTCATGTCTGGAAAAATGTAATGTGTTGGTGGCATCCTTCAGACTTGTTTTAATTTGGATAACTTCAATAATAGAGCGTTTGCAACTTTGTGAATAATTCATGTTATTTTTGAGCTTTCGTGATTTTATGACTATTGTCTGGGGGAGGGGGCCCTTTACATCTCTCTTTAAGGAGAACAAATACAAACTACTGAAAGTTGGCACAGCTGTCAGGACTAATGGGTCCACAAATCTCTGCTTAGACCACCTAATACACTCACTCTGCTAATTATGATGGGATAGCAAGAGTGCCTGAGGCTCCAGTGTGGTCTGTGCTTAAAAAGGAAGGGGAAAAAATTCCAAGTCAAAGACAGTATCATAACTCCTCCTAAGGTCCTTTTGTTTTAAATGGGGTCTTTCTGTTGGCTTTTAAAATAGCCTTTAGCCTTTTAAACTGTGAAGCCCCGAGGTGCACTCAGGGGCTTCTTTTCTTTCTTTTTTTCTTTTCTTCACAATACAAGTTGTGGAAGGTCAGAGGTTGGAGGCCCAGACTGTATTTGTGTCAGTAAACAGCATTTTACTTTCCCTGGAAGAGCGCCTCCATACCACCAGAAGACAGGACTCATTGGCTGACACATATTCCTTTTAAAATGTACAGTATAGGTCTGGAGAAATGGCTCCGTGCTTAAGAGCACTTGCTGCTCTGTGGGAAGACCAGGGTTCATTTCCCATGTCAGGAAGCTCCCAGATTCCTATAGCTCAGGCTCTAGAGTATCCAATAGCAGCTTCTGGCCTCTAATGAGCAAACCCCACCTCACAACCCTCACACACACTAATAATGAAGCAAACCTTTAAAAGTAAAACCCATAATACACTCGTCTGTTCTTTTGTTTTTAAAGACTTTACTTTTCTTTTTAATTGTGTATATATTAGTTTATCTCTGCAAGATCAGCATACATTCTTAACCACTGAGCCATCTTACCAGTCCCATCTATTCTTGGGATGGTCTATAAAACATACTTGAAAATGATGAAGAAGAAGGAAAAGAGGGGGATAAACACAAGAGGAAAGGAAGAAAGAAATGATGAAAAACATACTTTAGCCCATTTTACCACGGGATGCTTTGTATTGCAATAGAAGACTGACGTAGAGGTAAAACCCAAAATGACAATGCATTATGACTCACTGGTCTTTCTCCATCTCCTTTCCAGGCATCAGAACAAATCTTTTAGACTTCTCAGTTGACACTGTATTTGACACTGTATTTGCTATGATTGTCTGTAGGTTCATCTGAGGTTCGTTTTTCATGGGAAAGCCCTTCTAGGGGACACTATGCTAAAAAACCATCTCCACACTGTCCATGCTCAGTAACTCTCCTTAGCCATGGGCACGAGACTGGAGCTCATTGTGTCAAGCTTGTGAGGACAAAGGCGTGTTTTCCTATAGGAAGCCACACAGCAGAAGGTGAAACTGCCAACACATGTATGTAGTTGGCCTCCGTGAGAGTGGTAGACATTTGCCACGCCAGCATAAAAAGAGAAGATTAGAGGGAAGATGGTTACAAGGTTGAGTCTGAAAAAGTGCACACTCCCTGCCTTACCTCATTGAAAGACAGGGAATAAAGAATGAGACAGGCATTGTTTTCATTCTATGGCTGAGTTAATTAAGGCTTAGAGAGATCTGCTAATTGACTCATTGTTGTGGGACCTTTGATGTGTGCTTCCGGGCACCATTGTTAGAGTCCAAAGCTTGTGCCCCTGGACTACACTGAGGCCCACGTACAGAGCTCAGCACTGTAGCCAACTATGGCCTTGTGGCCACTTAGGGGCTGGGAATGACACTGTAAAGAATAAGGGATGCTGATAAAGCAGTTTCCAAAATGGGGAATGGAAGGCTCAATGAGCATAGAGCAATTGTAGGAAGTAGTTTTAATCAGAGAATAAAACGGAATGTTGGAATTAGAAAATGTCATTGTGAGGGGCTCGAGATGTGGTTCGCACAGAGTTTCCTACATCCACATAAACTGAGAATGGTAGATGCTTTTGTGATCCCCAAACACAGGAAGTAGAGGAGTGAGTATCTGAAGTTCAAGGTTACCCGCGGTAGTGAGTTTGAGGCTAGCCTGGGCTACATAAAAACACCCATTAACAAAACAAAATGAAACAAACCCCATACACTCCACCGATGAACCTACAGACAATCATAGCAAATACAGTGTCAACTAAGAAGTCTAAAAGATTTGTTGCGGCGCCTGGAAAGGAGATGGAGAAAGACCGGTGAGTCATAATACGCTGTCATTTTGGGTTTTACCTATATGTCAGTCTTCCATTGCAATCCACAGCACCCTGTGGGTAAAAACATTTAAGTTGAAACCTGACAGTAAGACCAAAAGAATAATCCCAGGCCTGGGGGCTCACTCACTAGCCAATGCAGCCTACTTGTAAGAGATCACACACACACACACACACACACACACACACACACCACAAGGGGCATTTATGAAAAAGCTACTGAGTGCGCAATGGGGAAATTTTTTTTCAATAGAGTCTAATTGTATAGCTGGCATGGAGCTAAATATATAGCTATATTTATATATATGTAATCAGGGGAGCCTAGAACACACCAAAATCCACCTGCCTCACCTCCCAAGTGGTGAGGTTCAAGGTATGCCCCGCTGTACCTGGTGGAATGACCCCCTGAGTTTGTCTTCTGGTCTGCAGGCATGTGCGCTGATGGAGGGGGGGCAGCACACCAGATTTTACATCCCCTCGCTGCAGAGAAATTAGAAACGTTCAAGCCAAGTTGGCGTTCCCGGTGCCGACATGGATTCCCACGTCATGCTAAACCTAACGAATATGTGCACATAGCGCGAATCAGTTGACAACAATTTACCAGATGGAAAGAAGCAGAACCCTGTTCTGCAGAGTATTCAGGGTCCCTTGGTGCCTTGGTGGAAATCCGACACCCAGGATTTGCCAGCATCTGGGGAAGATCAGCTGTCATTCAACCTGAGAGGAAGTATTTGCTTAGTTTAGAGTTACAGTCCCAGTCCTAGGATAAACACTTGTGGCTTTTGGCACCAATCTCCTGGCGGAGCTTACTTCGTGTGTCTTAATTTTTTTTTTTTATCTTAAAGTATTGAAAATCAAGATCAGAAAGATAAAGAAAGCAGTTACTTTAGAATTCTATCGGCCAGGGGGCTGAGGAAGAATTTTTCCAAAGAACTTTCTGGATGTGACCACAACAAGGTAGATTCTCCTGTCTGTGTTGGCCACAAAGGTTTCAGGTCATAGGTGACACTTAGCCTGGTTGTCTGGTTTCTTCCCAAGAGCCTAAGTTACATCCCGTTGACTGGCCTGTAGGTCTCTTCAGGCCTTTCTCTTCCCCTTCTGATGACTTTGCCCTAGATTTTTCCCAGGGTTGCAAAGTTTCTCCATTACCCTGTTACCTTTCCTGACCATCTACCAGTGTTGCAAGACCCAGCCCAAATACTCTGTTATCACTAGCATTCATGGCACACCCTGTTCCTGACTCAATTAGAAGCACCCTTTTTTTGTATCAGCCTTGAAACAACCACAGATGTACAGAAGTTGTGACTGAATATCCAAGTGTAGTGCTTTTGTACAGAATATGTGTTTCTTCTGTAGACGGCACAGTGGGCTGGGAAGAGGCAAGCTTGTTTTGGTTATTCCGAGACCAACCTATGAAGCTAGTTCTGCCACTTGTCTGCTACTTGCCAGGATGAAAGTGACTTTGTGGATCTAATCTCTTGTTCTTGGCATAGGCACAATTCACTGTACCTTACTGTAAAGACTAGATGAAAAACACTAAGGCCCTGGATCCGAGGGAGATAAAAAACTGATGGTTAATAATTCAAGTGATTAAATAAGGAGGAAGCTTTTCCTGTGGGCACTGGAGGGTAACGAGCACGACTGAAGTAGTGTCCTTTTTGTGTTGTTCAGCCTCGAGGAGGGGTAGAGAAAGGCCCCGCGGCTATGAGGAGCGCTGGTCTGGTGGAGAAACTTAAAGAAACAGGTAACTTCAAAGTTGGGAGAGGAGCCAGTTGCAGTGGGGCATGCCTGTGATCCCAGAACTCGAGGGGGCAGAGGCAGGAGGATCACTGTTATTTCCAGGTCAGCCTCGTCTACAAAGTGAGTCCAGGGCAGCCAAGGCTACACAGAGAAACCTTGTCTTGGAAAAACAAAACAAACAGAGAGAAAGAGAGAGAGAGAGAAAAAAAAGATGATCAGATAATGCCCTCTTCTAAGAAGAAAGGATGTGTCCGCAGTGACCCTCACACCAGTGATCTGAGGTACTTCTCAACCATTAGGACCATGTCCTACTAGAGAAGCAGGGCCTGCAGGGCCTGCAGGGCCTGGGGAGGAGGCCCAGGAGGTATTGCTGCTGGGATATCCTCACTTCCTTGCTTGCATGATTGGTCTTTCTAGCCAAACTTTACCACATAAGCATGTATGACACAAGAAAGAACATTGGGTGGATGATATGAGGGAGCTGGGGAAACTGAAAATGAGAACTAAAAGCTTCAAGAAATACACCTTCCTGTTGCAAGAGGATCCCTAGTCGGTGAAAACAAAGTGAGGCAGCAATGCTAGTAGCAACAACAGCAGCATCCAGTGTGCCTGCGGTGCAGCGCTGGTGAGGTGGGACCTCATGCATTTCCAGTGAGAAAGCAAACTGAAACAGCCAGCCTGGAGAGCAGGTTGACAGTATCGCCAACGTACAAGACCTGCACATGAGTAACAGCAACATTTGTAAAGTCTGAGGGATAAGCATCCCTTCATAAAGCTAGAAAGAGAAGAGATGATATGGACGGAGCTAAGGTAGGAGGGTGTGTGAAAAGAGGAAGGAAGAAGGAAGAAGGAAAGAGGAAGTTGGGGAGGGAGATCATTTACTGGCAAACAGAAAGCCCAAGTAAGTAGCCTTGTTTTTTGTTAGATAGAATAAACTGATTAAATATTAAATCAGGTGAAATGTCTTGAAATTGTTGCTAAATTTCAAGCCCACAGAATTATAGTAAATTCTTCAACAATGGCTACTTCAGTGATGAAGTCCATGTCAGTGTTGCAGGAGGCTGTCCGGTTGAGAAGCTCATGTCAGGGCTTTCATGACCGAAAGCACGGTCGGGCCCTTAGGAACTTTGGATTCCCTGCCTTTTGTTGTTGTTGTTGTTGTATAACAACAAAGTTTGCATATCCTGGACACTGAATTGGGAGGTTTGATGATACAGGAAGATGAAGGTTTCAGTAAGGGAGGGCTCGGGTAGGAAACCAGGAGCACAGAGGCAGGGTCAGAAGACTCAGAAAATGCCCCGACTTTTCATGACTGCATGTTACTCCTTCTGATGTATTTTATGTGGGATATATCAAATGTTTGCTTAAAAACCAAGCATGTGTGTTATAGAAAGACAAAGAGCATTTACCACACGGGAGCACACACACACACACACATGCATGCGAGTTTGGGGTGGGGCTTAGAACAAGATGATGCTCCCTATTAGATGGAGATCACACAGTTATCATTGCCATCCTTCAGCATGTGGTCTCCATGGAAACAGGGAGGGCCCGGCATAGGCAAGTGCCAGAGGGAGGGAGGTGATGGCTAGTGACCCTGTGTTCTGTTCCCATTCAGTAATGTCAAACTTTCAATTGCAGAGTATGATGTGAGCGACTATGGGGACCTGGCCTTTGCTGATTTCCCTAATGACAGCCCTTTTCAAATTGTGAAGAACCCCAGGTCTGTGGGGAAAGCTAATGAGCAGCTGGCTGGAGTGGTGGCCGAGGCCCAGAAGAATGGAAGAGTCACCGTGGTGCTGGGTGGAGACCACAGGTCTTGTGAACTGCGGGCATCCCTGGGGACTGGGCACAAAGGGCATAAGGGGACCCAAAGGAAGGGGAAATGCAGACAAGAAAGCACTAAAGGATGAGAGTGTGTGTGTGTGTGTGTGTGATAGTAGTATTAGTTATTTAGAAATAATGTAATAATTAAAATAATATTTAGAAATATTAGATTTTTTATAGAAACATAGATCAAGCCCTATTTGAAGTCTTAAAAATATCTTTATCCATACAGCAGAAAATACATAAAATTGTGGTCTTAAATTTTATAGTAATTAGCCATTGGAGACAGTCATAGTTTATTCAACTTGATTACTGATTATGCACACAATTCATTTAGGTGAACAACTTTAAAATACGTGTTTTTCATTTCAAAGTACTATAAAACTTTTAAAAGGACACACATGAATACATGATCAGTTTAACAATTATTACATATTAACATATATACAGACAAACACACACATATACATATATATACATATGTATATGTATGATGTATGTGTATATATATATATATACATATATATATATATGTACAAAAATACATCCATATTACCAGATATTTAAATTTACATTTTCACCAAAGCAGACATTGGTGTTGTGCCTAGAGCCAGTTTACTGTTGTCACACTGGGACCATGTCCCGGGGTGGCCCGAGCAGCTGCAGAGCGCGAACCTTTGTTCGGCTGCTGCTCTTGAAGCTGTCTCCTTCACTGCCCTCAGTTGCCCCTGGCACCTGTGAACAGGGCTTCTACGAGAAAGTGGCAGTGGACACTGGGCTTCCCTTTCTTTTCTAAGCGGGAACATTTGGAAGTGGAAATGTTAGGAGTGCAGATGGCCCAACGGCAAGATACTTAAAAGTAACAGCAGACACCAAGCTGAATGAATGAGATACTTAAAAGTAACAGCAGACACCAAGCTGAATGAATAAGCAACAGCTGCACTTGGAGGAGACGGATACTTGGTACTCTCGAGTGGTATTTCCAAGTGTGATGGTATTGGCATCCTATGTCTGACCCACTGTGTTAACTTCTCTGCAAGGTAGCACCTGGCTCTCCCATTCCGGCCTCATGTTTGGAGCCAGAAGTGTTTGGGATGGGCTTTGGTGATCAGAATGGGTTCTTGCATGGAAAGAGAGTTAGGTGGCTAAAGGAGAGGAGCCAAGCACTGGCTGGACAGAGGCAGTGGCTGCAGGAAATTAAGGAACTTCCTGGTGCTTCTCCCCAATTATAAAAGGGCTGCATTTGGAGGGAAAAAAAAGAAAAAACTGTTCAATTCTCTGCCAGAATTGAACACAGATAATCAAGTACTTAGCAAGAGAGAGCAGAGTATAAGAAGAAAGACAGTGCAGCCCCCAAAACTAAAGCGTGTCTAAGGGCTAAAGGATTTTTTGTTGTGTAGCTAATGCTTTTTCATTAAGCTATGATTTGTGGTTTTATTATGAGGGAACTTTTAAAAGATAAAATTGTCCGTGACTTTCATAGTGACATTATTAAGGTAACCGGGGCGAGAACTGCCTTTTCTCAGTTGGTACACTGGTGTCACCAGCACCTTTAAGGTCTAGGCACAAGCTAACTGGACTTCAGGGATAATCAAATAGGCTCAGTTTGTGAGCTAATGATTTGATGTGCTGACATTGTAAAAATGATGTTGACACAAATTTTTTTCCCTCCCAAGTATGGCGATTGGAAGCATCTCTGGCCACGCCAGAGTCCACCCCGACCTGTGTGTTATTTGGGTGGATGCTCACACGGACATCAACACTCCACTGACAACAGGCACTGGGAATCTGCATGGCCAACCTGTGTCCTTCCTCCTGAAGGAACTAAAAGGAAAGGTAAAAGGCTCCTTGGCACACTGATAGAACTCTTTGTAGTGGTCAGCAAACTGAAGCCAAATAGGGATTCTTCATTTATTGTATAACCTGAAGGTATTGTCTCTGCAGTAAAAAAAAAAAAAAAAAAAAAAAAAAAAAAAAGATAAGGTTGATAAAGGTGGACAGTTGTCAAACTGTTTCCATCAGGACATGTCCCGGTGTATCCATGAGGGATTGGTCACATGACCCCACAGATGCTAAAACTGTGGGCGCTCAAGCCTCTCCCACAATATGACACAGTATTTGTATGTATCCTCCCACAGCCTTTAGATCAGCTCTAGATACTTATCATACCTAATGCAAGGTAAACGCTATGAATATAGATACGTAGTTACACCTGCACTGTCCCTGGCTGATGGAAGCATGGATACAGAGGGCTGATGTGTTCTCTTTGGATTGTTTTTATTTTATTCATTCATTCACTCATGTGTTTATTTTTTAATTTTTAAGACAGGGTATTTCTATGTTGCCCTGGCTGCCCTGGAACTCACTTTGTTTCAGGGCAGGCCTTGAACTCACAGAGCTCCACCTGCCTCTGCCTCCTATGTGCTGGGATTAAAAGCATTCGCCACCATGCCTGGATTTTCTTTGGATTTTTAAACTACCCTTTTAAGTAGATGGGGCAAACTTACCCTTTCTAAATAGGGCTGCAGAGACTCAGAGGGTAACCAGCCTGCCCAGAATCATGCCAAGTATAGTTCGAGGCAACTGCATACGGTCCTCCTGGTTCCTACGTCTTCTAACTACACACCACAGGTTTTTCCTTTTTTACCAAGTGACCCCTCCACATCAGAGCCTAGTCAAAATGGCAGCCTTGCCATGCAGGCTACAATAATCTTTTTGTGATAGGTTCTTGCTAGGTTTTGAGGCTGAGCAGGAACTTTCTGCCTGCTGAGTGCTGAGACTAGAGTGTGGCACCACGCCTGGCTTTCAGTGGCTCAAGGTCTTTCTTTACTCTGGCAAGCAGTTACCTGAACCGCAAGAGGAAGAACAGCTCCCAGCTCCCTAGGGACATCTTTAAAATTCTGGATTAAGTCCTTTTGAGAGAGGGAAGTAGAGATGGGAGTGGGAGTTACTAGAGTAATGGGAACACTCTTTGGTATTAGAGTCCTGGAAAAGAAGCTGAGCGCTGCAGAAATGGGGCATGGAGCATCAAACTACCTACCTATAAGGGTCCAGCGTAGGTTTAGGCCACGGGGCAAAGCTGTTGAGGCCAAACTAATCAAGGCTATCACAAGGGGAGGCAGGTATCCGTTCCTAATCTTACATCATTTTAAAATCACTTCTCCTAAATGTATACTCTGAATGTTAGACATAACATATTTGTCTAATCAGAAACACTGTTGTTTTTAGTTCCCTGATGTGCCTGGCTTCTCCTGGGTGACTCCTTGCATATCTGCCAAAGATATCGTCTACATCGGCTTGAGAGATGTAGACCCTGGGGAGCAGTAAGTTTATCCCATGTCCTTTCATATGCTAGGTGTGATTTACTGGCCAAATGTGCAAGAGGTTATTTTAAATTGTTACTATGTATACACGAATACGTGTAGGCATATACATAAGCTCTGTCTTTATATTTACTTAGACACAGAGGTATCATTTTTGTCAATGTACAATGATTTACTCATAAAACACAACTGTGGGCATATATACACAGTTCTCGAGACTTATTTTATGTCCCTTATTACAGCGATCTTCCAACCCAAAGGAGACATGAGAAAGGTCAGCCTTATTAACTGTAGATTAACTTAAATGTTTTATTTTATAGCTATATTCTAAAAACTCTGGGAATTAAGTATTTTTCAATGACTGAAGTGGATAAGCTGGGAATTGGCAAGGTGATGGAAGAGGCATTCAGCCACCTACTGGGAAGGTAGGATGCTTTTGTGTGCATGTCTGAAAATAACTTCCTACTGACGTTCTTGCCAACATAGGCTGTTGGCAACAGTAAAAAAATAAAGTTTAGTAAATTAATAACAATAACGACAATAGTAACGTTTAGGTAAAAGCATGGGCTGTTTTTACAAAGCAGGATAAGGCCTCTATCTGATCACTGATTCTGAAAGCACTTGAGACTGAAAGCCTTTCCCGTTTGTTAAAAGAAAGAAAAGGCCCGTTCACCTGAGCCTTGATGTTGATGGACTGGACCCGGTGTTCACCCCGGCGACCGGCACACCTGTCCTGGGAGGCCTGTCTTACAGGGAGGGTCTCTACATCACAGAAGAAATTTACAAGACAGGTAGGTAAAAACCAGAGGCCATAAACAAACAGCTGTGCACTTGGCCATTGCAGATGTGGGCCTCTCTGACCCGAAAAGCAAGCCTGTTAGTACTTCCGGAACACCCATCACGTGATGACATATATAATATGTTTTCTGCCAGTCACCACCTCTTCTCCACTAGACACATTCTAGAGTGAGTCGCTACAGATTTTTAAATGGCAGTTGCCTTCATCAACTATGTCGTATTTTTTGTTGTAGGGCTGCTCTCAGGACTGGATATCATGGAAGTAAACCCAGCTCTTGGGAAGACACCAGAAGAAGTAACACGTACAGTGAACACGGCCATAGCATTAACCTTGGCTTGTTTTGGGACTGCTCGGGAAGGCAATCACAAGCCAGGGACTGACTACCTTAACCCACCTAAGTAAATGTGGATGCCTCACATGAAAATCAGCTGACCATGAGAGCAAGCTGAATAGACCTCAGGAAACGGTTCTCCTCCAAAGGGCTCGTTCTCTTAGGAAAAAAAAAAACAAAACATTTTTTTCCAGTAAGTATGTTTTCCAGCAGTTCCTTTCTGGTATCAAATTGGGAGTGTGGAAATTCAAACAGCTATGAAATCCGGAAACATGTACTTCCCATTTTAGCAGAAGTTGTCTTTTAAAAGTAGCATAAATTAATTTCCAATTAAAAATGCACCAGCGTTTAAAATAATTGGCACAGTGCCGACCCACTAGTGTGGCATTATGATAGTCAGAGACAGCGGTATCCAGAGAGGAAGCCTGTGTCCACGGTTGTTCAAAAGATGTGATTTTTGTAATAAACTCTTTATAATAAAACTCTGTTGTCTGCATCTTTCCAAATACATGCAACATACTTAACGCATGAACATGTTCTAGCGCACACACCTGCCATACCACTCTATGTGTTTATATGTATCATTTTTTTAAAACAGAATGTATATGCCTGTAAAGGATGCATGTATCTGTAAAGACTCCTACAAGGCATAGAAATAATCATCCCTAAAACAACGGAAGCCATTGAAGCCACTAAAGGTTGGTCTCTGTCTTAGCTGTGAAATTGGTAATCATGGGCCATATCCAAGTTCACTGATATAAAATGACCCCTTTTCTAAGCAAACGTAATGCTGGTATCTTAAGCATGATGGTCATGCATGCACACAAAGATTTCCAAACGTCTATGCATAGTCACTGGGGCTATCAGAGTGACCCCTACCAAGAGCTACTAATACATTTTAGCCTTCCACTGTGTCACCTCGGCTTTGAGAAGCCCCGCCTCTCCTCACTGCTCCCAGCATGCCTGGTTAGCTAAAATCCTTAAGCATCCTACAAACCCACCTTGGCCCCGAAATAAAACGAGGAAAGAGGAAATACAAGTGAGAATAAAGTGTAATCATTAGAACAAGTACAGAAATGTGTGTTTGCCCTAACCTGAGCTTCAGTGGCAAATGCGGGGGACTCGGAAACACAAGTGGCTCCACAAAGGGCTTTTTATCGTTGTTTTAGCAGCTGCATGTTAGTAAGGCTTGACCATCTGACTGTTCATTTATAGACCTAGAGTTTAAGCCTAATTATTGCCTCTATGGTCTTTGAAATAAAGTTTGAGTTAATTTTAGAAAATTACAATGTACCTTTAAAGTACCTTGTACAATACAGTGGTCACATGTAGTTACGTTAAAGCTTAATAAAAATGTAAAATTCAGTTCCAAATTTTAAATGTCTACTAGGCACAAGCAGCTCGTAAGTGCTGTAGTGCAGCCTGGGTAGGCACAGAGTTCTTTGTCACTGCAGTCATTTTGGGCAGAGCCAGTTACTCATTGAAAACAAGTGCCCAAACCCCACAATACACAACTGCAGCAATTTTCTTCCCATTAGTGTCTCTGATTAATAACTCTAAAGCCACATTCAGAGAAAGTCATATTTCTGTTTTTTAAGGTAGAGATGGAAATTTGAATTTTTAACAAATTTACTGGAGTGTATATGTCCTTGAGAAAGTCGTAAGACTGCTTTTCATTCTTCTTTCCGTTACACACACACACACACACACACACACACACACACATACACTATATGTATGTATACCAGTGTCAAATGTTCCCATTCTAGGATCTCAAACTAAAGCCATCTAGTCCCTGAGGCACAAAGACTATGTTGCAAATACATTAAAAATAACAGTTGGAATCACTCCTACTATAAAGTTTCTGGAGACTATCATTAGCCCAGAAACACTAACAATGCCATCACATGATTTTAAGGTAGATTTACATGGCGAGTAAGGATTTAGTGACTGCAAGGATATGAGCTACAGAAACGAAGGAGGGACATATTCCATGGTAAGAGCCTGAGCTTTGGCGGCTAGGTCTATCATTGTGAGTTTTTATGAAGAGTATTTCGTGGTTCTAGGGATGGTATTAATGTCTATCTGTCATGCAGAAACAAGGGCAGCCTATGTCTCCCTCATGGTAGGTCATTAAAGAACTAGATAGTTTGTTCGGTCAGCTTTGCTGGCTTTCAAATGGTTAAAAATGCCATTTCCCTTCAAATTAGCTGTGTACTGTATTTAAGAGTTTTGAGGTTATTAAAAATTCAGAGTTGGAAGAATCTGCCAGGTGAGGATGAACCTGGAATGAAGTTAAACAAACAAACAAAACATACCAGGGGACTGGAGAGATGGCTCAGAGGTTTAAAAGCAATGACTGCTCTTCCAGAGGTCCTGAGTTCAATTCTCAGCAACCACGTGGTGCCTCACAACCATCTACAATGAGATCTGGTGTCCTCTTATGGCACGCAGGTATACATGCAGACAGAACACTGTATATATAAATATTTAAACAAACAAACAAACAAAAAACAGACCACAGAACCAAATATTTGAGCATGGCTTTATTTAAATTTATAAATTTCAGATGGTTTCTAACTCACTTTATACAGAAAGTTCAGAGCAAAGGCAAAACTTTCATAATCTTCTTTAGTAGAAACATTACATCATTTTTTGGAACTGTTTGGAAATTTAAAATTTACAATAAAACTTTACAGCCAGGTAAAAAAAGAGTATGAAACTTCATTTGTTCCTGTAATGCAACTAAAATATAAGGCCCTTTAATTAATAAAAAGGCTCTATTTGGAAGACATACCAAATGACATTTATGTATAAAAGTTTGTAATGACCACCTTACATGTGTTGTGTCTTTAAAGTAATGTATATGAAACGTGAGGATGTTACTTAAAATACTTTAAAAATGGCTGAAACAGGCAATTTGAGAGTGCCTGCTAAAAGCCACTTGATTACAGAAACACCCACATTCCCAGGGACTCTATAAATTGTTATAAATATGTCAACATGTAGCTTACTTAATCTCTTAGAGACAAAACATAGCCAGGAAGAAGGGAATTTGAAGCGTGGAGATTCAGAATCTGAATCAGAATAGACAATCTGAACGAGCCAGTTGCTCCGGTCTCCTCAGCCCAGTGTTCAGATTTAGAGGGGCGTCCCCCTTGCAGGCAGATGTGCTCCTTGGTGTCATGAGCCTTTGGCTTCACTGAGTCACCGGCAGAGATGTTGGCACCTGGTTAGACTGAGGTGCTGGAGAGCCGCTGCTGAGGCCCTGAGGCGGCACAGCTGGCTCCATCTTGCTGATGTGCGTGATGAATCGAAGACGAAGCTTTAAAGCTGGCTTTAAATTACAGATGATCTTCTCCACCTAAGAAGTGAGAATAAGATTAAGAACAACCGAAGAGTTCAACATTTACTGAGTGACGGCGTTTAGTTGTCAACAGTGTACTATTGGGAGTTGGCACATGGCAAATTTCACAAAACCAGATACAACTGCTTTCTCACACAGGCCAGCACATGTGCCCTCCCCCCCCACAGCGTGCGCACACGTGTGGTGTGCGCTTGTCTCTATCGACACGTGCACTTCAAGAACTCACCACCCATCGACCTGCCCAGTTATCGTGCTCGCCACAACTAGAACCATTCCCATTAGAAGCTGAACCAGCTTGGCCATCCTTCCGGAATGCTACACCAGCAGGAGCAGGAAACATTTGCAACATTTATCCATCCCCAGAGCTATTTTCTTCATTTTATACTTGGACCCGTCAGCAGTACCATGCACTCAGAAAGCACTGAGGAGACAAATGTTCCCTTCCTCAGGTGTCTTAGCTTGAATTCTTTTAGACCTTAGGGGGAAGGATCAGGATGTTAGCAATTTTTCTTTTTGCTTTATTCCTATGTCCAAGTGTAAGCCTGAACACAAAGAATACATTTTGGTTTAAAAAAGCATTGATGAGATCATCTTTTCTGTGTTAACAGCAGACACAAAGAGAAATGCATGCATGCTTGCTTGCTCCTTCCTTCCTTGAGGGAAAATCATTAACTCTGACATCACTGCTAAAGTATAAAGAAGTGAATGTCTGTAGTTGGGCTTTGCAACTTTGTGGGTTCTTCTTTTTCCCCTCCTTTATTCCTAGCCCACCACCTTTCACCCCCTAACACTAGATAGTAGAGAAACAAGGATAGATGGGAGAGAAGAGTTAAGCAAATTCCTGAGTCTACTTTCTTTCCTTTTGTTTCTTTGACCACGGCTACTAACAAACTGCAACCAACCTCCCTAAGCAACCAATAACCCCCCAACACCTCTTCAGGCCCTTCCTTAAAAATTCCCAGAATTCCAAATGTCACACAATCACAGAAATTTTCTGCAGCATGCAAAATCATGCTTCTGCTAGATATAGTGCGAGGCAAATCATAGTCAGCTGCTGCGGACAGTGCAAAGCAGCCCCATATCCCCATACCCGGGATTAAAATGAAAGTGCATTCTTTTTTATATCATTTCTGTGTTTTTAAAAGAAACCAAAGTTCTAGAATTCTTAAAAATGTCACTACATATGTCTCCGGAGCAGCAGCTCCAAAGAGTGAGCGCTTAGATTAGCACTCAGATGACACAGCAATTATCTTTCTGTGATAGAGGGGTGAATATAATCGAAGAACAATACACCCAAGTGTGGAAACGTTACAATGAAACCCACTGTTTACAGAGCTAGTTAGGGGAAAAATACAACAGAACTAAGTTTAAGAACTGCCCTTCCAGAAGGGGAAGGAAACTGTAGTCAGGTACTGAGAAGAAGGACTGTCTCTCAACTATCTACCTCACTACCATCCCCACAACAGCTCAGAGGGCTTCATACACATGGAAACACCAGCATGATCAAGGAGGTCTCTCTCCACTTCAGCCACCTCTAGTAGGAAGTGCTTCCACTCTTCAGCGTCACCACCGAGCTTATACTGTGTCACATGAAACAAAACTCTCACACACAGGATGGAAACTTTCCGAGCAGTAGAGATGAGATCGTTTCCCTGGGATTTGTTCTTCATGTTAAGAACCCTCATGCTCTTCAGAAACCCCCAAACACCAGGCTCTGGCCAGCCACTCTTCCCCAGGGCACCCTAAGCACTGGGGAAAGGGAAGCCTCCTTCACTGAGAGCCCCTGCCCCACCACATGGCTTTCCCCAGACATGATGACTATTGAATGGGATGACTGCTCACTGGAGCCTTTGGGTTTTCTCAGATGCTTTGTTTAAAACATCACAGGGAAAAGGTCATTTCTTCATCGCTGCTGTCTAGACTGTGGTCTTAAGAAGTCAGATACCACACACCAGACAAAAACAAACCCAGACTAAAATATTCATTCAAACAAAAATGTTTATCACCACGTATTAAGTTCTCTAGGTCAAACATCACTGAAAAGTTAAAAAAAAATTAACTTACTTGCTCTTTTACACTATCACCAGTAAACATATACTTCATATGATACAGGAA